TTCTCTTTTGAACTTGGCTGCACCGTACTGATGAAGACCAATAGTCAGAAACACGTGTCTACGGTTTGCCTTTAGGCATTTTTTTTTTTCATTTTTTGCGGTATTTGCCCAATAATCCTTTTCTTTTATATTTTTTCACCGCACTAAACCTTCTTCTCTTGTTTAGTTTCCCTGGGCTTGGATGCATCTTTTAGCAAAGTCCACAAATGTGTAGTTGGCTTCTTGAGTGATCTCCTGTTGATTTGATTTCATCGCTAGTTCCATTCTCTTTTGAACTTGGCTGCACCGTACTGATGAAGAACAATAGTCAGAAATACGTGTCTACGGTTTGCCTTTAGGCATTTTTTTTTCATTTTTTGCGGTATTTGCCCAATAATCCTTTTATCTTTTATATTTTTTCACCGCACTAAACCTTCTTCTCTTGTTTAGTTTCCCTGGGCTTGGATGCATCTTCATAGCGGCTATAACTGCCTCCGTGGCGACGCTAATATTTTCTAGTAAGCACTAAGAATGTTAGCAAAGTCCACAAATGTGTGGTTGGCTTCTTGAGTGATCTCCTATTGATTCGATTTCATCGCTAGTTCCATTCTCTTTTGAACTTGGCTGCACCGTACTGATGAAGACCAATAGTCAGAAACACGTGTCTTGCGTCCACCGTAGATTTACCTTTTCTAAAGCCAAATTGACTCTCAGACAGGTTTTCCTTCATTTCAAGCTCGTTAATTATTCTTGCGGCGATGACATGTTCCGTTAATTTCCCCATGGTGTCTAGGAAGCACAAGGGCCGATATGACGCCGGTTCCTCCTCGTCTTTTCCGGGCTTTTTAATTAGGACCAATCTACCGATCTTCCATTCCGTGGGAAATGTCCCTGTGCTAATAATATAATTTATTACATTTCGGATGTTGTTTGGGAATTCTCGTATTGCCAATTTGACAGCTTCCGGAGGTATGCTAGCAGGTCCAGGAGCTTTGCGATTCTTAATTTTTTTCACAGCGCGATTTATTTCATCTATATTTACTTCCGGGATTTGTTCATCTTGTCCTTGTTCGGGTAACCACGTTTTTTTGCCTTGTTTCGGGAATAGAGTATTAATTATTTCTTTTTTAAAGTCTGCTGTAATATCCAGTCTTTGGTTTCAGCTTGCCCACTTGGTACGCTTTTCCCCATGGATCATTTTCCACGGATTCACATAGATTTACCCATGCCAACAATTTAGTTGTCATGATCATGTTTCGTAATGTCTTCCTGGTTCCTTTAAGTTTCGCTTCAGTCTCATTTATTTTCCTAATATTTTTCTTATCAGTCCTACTTTTTTCCTTCTTAATTTATTGCACTCGGCTCGTTGCGCTGCTATTTCGGAAGTCCACCAGTATTTTCTGTGATATCTAGGGTTCCCTGTTGGGTTTAATTCTTTCCGGCTTCCGATTTTAGTACTTAGCATTTGTTTAAATTTTTCTGGATCAAGCTTCTTGACATTCCAGCCCTGCCTGCTATATCACCTTCTATCTCTCTAATTTCAAAGTAAATAAACTGGTGTAGGCTCGCCATTTCTTCCAGTAAAACTTCCCGTTTTTGAATCTAAACTTACCGTTTTTAGAACTAAGCGTCAAGTCGATTATCGATTCTTGAAAGTTTCTGATGAATGTGGGCCTGGTCCCTTTGTTCTGAATTATGTAACGTGATACTTGTTATTTTATCTATTTGTTATAGTGTTTTAAGCTCAATTGATTTTGGGAGTGGGTCAGGTTGTTAAATAACTCGTATTACCTTGAAAAAGAAGTTGGGCACCACTATATTTAAAACTTATTATACTTGACTATGGATTAGTGATAAAAATATAGAAAATCACTAACCATTAAGATATTATATTTAAACCAAGTTTTAGATAAGTAACAAATTATAATTCACAGAGATTTACTTAATTCAAATTTAGATGATTTATTGAAAAAATAAAAACTTATCTGATATAACAGGAGGTAGTTATATTAGGGTGATTTGTATGGTATATTAGGCCTTCTTCAAAGGGACTTGAACAATATTCTTCGGATAGCACCAAACTCTTAGGTATAAATCTTCATAAACTTAAATTTCCAGAAACTGTTTTAGATAGAACTTGAAATAAACTTCTTGATATAACTCGAAATAAACCTCTTGATATAACTCGAAATAAACCTCTTTAGATATAACTCGTACTAAACTTCTTAAGATATAACTCGTACTAAACTTCTTAGATACAGCTTGAACTAAACCGTCTAGATATAGCCAGGCTAAAAAGAAAAGGTAAAAATATTAAGAAAGGAAATAGGAAATTTGCACAGGAACCAGATAAAATGCCTTTAACTAATAATTGAACAATTTAAAACTATTAACAGAATAATTTCACAGAGACTAAAATTAATATTAAAAGGAAAAATCTTATTTAACATATTTAAATATAGTAAAACATAATATCTCTTGCAAACAAAATAATATAAAACGTGTTATCCATGTGTTATTCATGTATTGAGGTTATGTTTAAAATGTTACATTTCATTTAAGAAATTCTTGTACAAAATATATATATTTTCAACAATATATCGGTATTAAAGCTTACCTTATAAAATCAGACGGCCAATAAGAATATTAAAAGACAATTAGTACATCGGATGTCCAAGATAATTTAAAATTTAAATCAACTTGATTCGTTGACAGATATAAATCGAATGAATTAGGAACTTTTGACACAAGGCATAAATGACATTTGAGTAGAGATGTTTGGTCAAAATAACGAAAACAGTTCCAACCGTTACAACTACAAGATTATTTTTGGCAAGCCATTCAGTGAGTTTGAGGCCTCTTGAGTCCTCTGTGCGAGAGCCCCATTCAGGGGATTTTGCATTAAAATCTTGATGATTTTCCTTTTGGTTCTTATAATATCGTCTTTAATATTCTGGAGGTATCTTTCAAACTCATCCATTTTACAGTTCGGAGATATATAGCATGCTACTATCAGGTAGTCTTTGACGTTTAGCCAACAGTATCCTTTTCTTCTTTTTTTTCTACCTATTTTCATACCTGTATTCATGATCTTAATTGCCGTGTCCCTGTTTTTGTCGCTTACCCATGGTCCCTCTTTCTTTATTGTGTTAATATGTGGTGCGCTCATTATTACCATATAGGGACCGTGCGTCATGACTTTAACGCTAACTGGTGACAAAAATGTGAACTTTTTGGGGGGTATTTATTAATGTTTTATACGGCATTTATTGTTTAATAATTATTAATAAAATGAAGTCGAATTATTTTCGTAATATCAATATCGAAAAAACTTGTTGCATCCGTGGATGTACAAACACGTCACTTTAGAAACCTGGATTTCATTCGATAGTAAAGAAATTTTATAAATTTCCACAGAGCACAATTATGCCTCACACCCAATGATATACATAATTACAAAGATTGCTTATCCATATGTAAATCAGACGACGAAAAGCGTATTTCACTGGGCAAAGTTTTCTTTTTATCTAGCTTGTATCAATTTTGAGCACTTAGTTGTAAAGAAATCATTTACAGAAAAATTAAAATCTTTAGTGTTTTCTTGTCATTAAGATTTTTACATATTTAAATGACCATTTTATATAAATATATGCTGCGTTTGAGAATCCACATCGGATGCATCTGAGATGTAAAAAAATCTTTGATCACGTGATTCAGTATACGTAAATGTAATGAGACAGATGTGTCCGATGTGAATAAAAAAACGCTCGAGATGTAAAAAATGCATCCGATGTGGATTCTCAAACGCAGCAATAATTTTACAGATAATGGTTTATTCTGTTGATTAAAACGAATGTAGAATGTTATGAAATAAGAATATCCAATTTGACAAAAATATCACGGCCCTCTTTACAATTTATTAACTATTTCTCATTTATTATTAAAATAAACAAATCATAAATAATACATTGCAATTACTGTCAAAAGAGATTGTAACAAACTTTAAAATATTAAAAATCCAGTGATTTTTTGTAAATTTTTTTAGTGACATTACCATTAAACATTATTCAGAATAATAGATAAGTGTCCAATTACAACTCTTACCAAAGTTGTTAATACCTCATATCAAAATTGTTTACATTACCTTTTCAAAATTGTATTACATATTGCAATTATGTATTTTATGTAGAATTGTTTCTGAAATAGTAGTCTAAAATTATTTATATCCATCTGTTATAAAAATTGTTTAGATCTCTTAATATTATTTAACTACATGAAAACTCAACTTTCCAAATACATAATGACATGTCTTGAAGTAAAACTTTAATTATTATCTTTTTCTAAAGATTAAAATGCTGAAATTTTATTTTAACACATTTGGGCTAGAACGGCTCTATTTAGTGAGCACTAGGAAAGGCACATTGCAACCAGCTTTTCATAATTTTTTTATAGTTGGGTGAGCAATCTATAATATATGTATCATTGAACATCTCATAAACGCCAGTGGATGAATGACATTTCGATTAACATAAAGCTAAAAAGATTTATAATTATTATTATCAATCTTTTTTATTAATTTACATTTTTTAAATGTTATTGTAATACTTTTAAATTCAGTGTTACTAAATACCTATATTTTAACATTGGATATACTTGTTTAAGGTACAACTTTACAATTTATTGTCACTTAGCCATTTAAATCTTTTTGCTTAAAATGTATATGCATGTCCAGATTTTAATAATGTTTCACATTTTACGTCATTTTGACCATGTACACGATTGTTTGGTACGGGCCGGTATCTATTTTTAACTATATTTAATATTTAAAAAAATACCCTTCATTATTTACTTGCAATGTTTACCCCATTTAATTCTAAAATTAAACACTAGAGAGGGCTAAGTTCGGCAGTAGTGCTGCCTCTATATTTCACGCACGGTCCCTATCGCAGTTTAGGTCGTTTGCCACTACGTCAGTTAGGTCATGAGAAGCAACACTTCGTCCGAGATTAATTTGAAGGATTCTAATCACCTTGGTTTTCCTTGGTTTCGTTTGATGAGTTTTCCTGAGAGTCACTCAACGTGTTCATTTTTGATGTTAAAGAGAAATAAGCTACTTGTTCGGAGGAGGACTGTTCTGTTTCTAGGTTTTCTATGGTTTTTATTGTCCCTTGTGCCTCTTCCATGATTTGTGCAAATGCTGCAATATTTTGTTCAATTTCTGTTTCCTCCATGGTTTCCTTATTAGCCTCTTCGGTAGTTTCCATATTGTTATCCTCCTGTCTTTCCTTATTGTTGTCAAGTCCACTATTATTTTCGCCCATTTGAGACGTTTGTCGGCTTACTTGCCTCTCTATATGTCTTGCCCAACCTAATGCTTTTTCAAACGCTTCGAACTTGTTTGTGCCAGTCCTATGGCCGTCAGTATCACCTAATGGACAATATTCTTCATTGTTGCACTCCCTGGCTGCGTGTTGTTCTTTTCCACATTTGAAACAGAAACATATTCTCATTCTATCAGGTCCGTTGCAGAGTCTGGCATCGTGCTCGTATGACCAGCATTTATAAAACCTGGGTATCGTTAGTTTCTTTTCTATCCTTCACCTCACTATTCCGATACGAATATACCTCTTTCTAAGCAGCATCTCACCATCTGTCTTATTGATTGCCACCGTTGCAGCCTTTGTGTCATTTGAGAGAGGCCCACTTTCCGACTTGTGTCGTAATTGCTTGCTTTAGCTCTTCCTTAGTGGCATTCAGCTACATTCCTTTAATATGTATAACTTCTCTCGTATCTGATAGCCCTATTTATTTGCATTGAGGGAGGGAAGGTCCTTCTTTCAATGCTTCTTTAATGTGTTGTGTCGCTGCCTCATTTTTGTCCATCGTTATTAACAGTTTCCCATCTTTCGTACTACGTATAGTTTTGATGATCTCGTTAAGTGGGTTTTTTCTAATATCTCTTTGCACTGGTCAAGAATTTCTCTATATGTTTTTTTACCGCTTACCAGGAATCCTATTAAAGTTCTTTCTTTTTGCTCTTTTTTTGTCTTATCATAAGGCACATACATGGTCACAAAGTTATTGGTGCCGTGAAATATTGCTGTAGCCATCTTCTGTAGGCCAGTCTGGGACATAGAACTAATCGCGTGGATGGCTATAGTCTCGTTTTCTTCAACCTCCTCTTTGGCCTTAGACAAGTTGGACCATAGGTCGTCTTCCTTATCATTGAGTACTATTTTTATAATTTTACTATTTTTTTTGTACGTGTCTTTTGGATTTCAATTGGATCGTCTCTTCTAGGATTTCGAAGTAATCTTCTATTTGCTCCAATTCTGGATATTGTCTCTATATATTCTCTGAATTCCGTTGTTTATTTTGGGGTCTTTTGGTTCAACCATAACTACTTTGGCCGACTATTTTCCTGATTCGCAAGGGTTACCCATCTGTATTTCCGTGTTTGAGAGGAGTGATTCTTTTCATTTCAGCTTTGCTACGTTTTTCCATTTATCATAGCTGTCTACATCTTCTAGGGTCTTGAGCTCTAATTCTTGTTGGTTTGCCCAGTAACTGGTCTGAGTTCCGACTTCTGCCGTGGTTTTCTCTGTCTTCTCCTTAACCATGTCTGTCTGTGTCCCTATTTCGTTTGCCTGTTTTCCTGCCTTGTTACTCCCAGTTGTTTGTGTTCCCATCATCATTAAGATGTCTTGCATTTCGGTCGTCATTAGTAATGTACATGCGCTTCTTATTTTCGCAGTTGTATCTTTAATGACTTTCTTTGTATTTGGAATCTGAATCTCAAAAATTGTCTTGCTAAGGCTTCTAGAATGGAGGTTAATTTGTTTAATAACATTTCTAATTTTTTCCGCGAGTCTCTGCTGATGTCTCTCTTCCTCATCCTGCTCATTGTTCTCTCCTTTATCCACGTTATGTGCTTCTAGTTTTCTTTTTTTTGTTGATCTGTTTATCTTTTCGTCCCAGGCAAAATCAAAGATTGTTACTACTACTATTACTACTACTACTACTTACGGGTTTATACTCATAAGATTATGATTACACAAACCTCCATTGTTTTTAGTACCTATATCTTTTTCAGTAGACTGCTTGTTAAACTAAAATAAATTAAAAATTCCAATCCTACACAATTATCCACATTAAGAGCCTAGCTATTTATCTTTAAATACTAGTTTATATTTGTGAATATATCAATCACAAAATGATTAATAAGACAGTACGAATATTCCTAGAGCCTGTATTAAAGAACAAGTTCTACATTTAAATAATTTTTATATTCACAAAGTCAAAGGTACAATTAAAATATATTTATTATGAAGAATGTTTGGAATAAATGTTTACCTCATTTTCAGTATAATACTCCAGAATATCTGTTTCAGGTTGTAATGAAGGAAACCTTCTAAAATAAGGCTTTATTTAGCGAAACTTGACATACAAAATAACATAATAATAATAATATACATCAAACCTTAGAAACAAAGTTCATAGAGTAAACTCTTTAGGCAAATTCACTACATTAGTTCACTACGCAGGTACAGTGCTTTTTGTTTCACTGTGCCCTTCACTGTACACTTCACTGTACTCTTTTTGTCCTAAAATAAACAATTATTTTCTTAGTTTTATCTACATTACCATATAATATCTTCCACTAATATACTTTTTTATCTTTAGAATGGCTTATAAACAAACCTGTTATCTCTGAACTGATAGAAGAATGTGAAAAGTATTAAACATATTCAACGTCGACTTCCTCATCTTCAAGTACATTCAGTTCTAAGGCAGAAACAAATATACACATAAATCATTACATATACACATTTCAAATACTTAACCAAAGGAGCTTACTTTTTTTAGGCATCAAGGCTTTTTTTATTTTTGTATATTTCATCCTCTTCAGCCGGGCTGAAATAGTCTGTTGGCTTAACCTGCCTAAATCCTCTTCCCATCTCATTTTCATCCCCTTCTGTAAGTATTTTATTTTTTGCCTATCCCAGGGTATCTAAAAAATAGAACACAATATGTTAACAAAATTTTGTAAGTATCAATACACATTCCATTGTAACATACATTTGAAAAATATATTAAAAAATAATGTGTTTAATTATGTATAAAAAAATTTGGCTGTTGCTTTTTTAACTACTTTAACCATATTTTTTAAATTTAACATTTTAAAACAAGTAGTTGTTTTATTAAAATAAATACTACAATAATGTTCCACAACAACTGAGTGTTCACTCCACTCATCTTAAGGAGGAAATGCTTTTGTTATATAAGTTTGCGCATACTTCTCTGGGGGCCATCTACATTGTTATGTTTTCAGTTGGTGTAAGGGAACAAAACTACTAAATTTGTAGGCACGTTTTTTATTTCCCTTCTTAGCACGAATATCACAGAATTACATCACATTATTACTATACATTATGTATACGTTATACACGCCATTACCGCAGTTCGGTACCGGGAACTATGAATTACAATACATCACAATTCTTCCTTTCTTAAGTTTAAACTATAAATTTAACCTTTGTGGTTGTTTTCTCATCCTACTAGATTTCCGATAAGATTGAGGAGTTCCCAATATAGGTTTAATGTTTACAGTATCATAAAATTCATTCTCACTAGATATTAATAAATTTTAGAGCTAGGAATATATGCAAAACGCCATATTTTGCATATGTTGCATATATATACAATTTTTGATTTTGAATGCATATATTGACATTTTGTTAATTTTTTGGCATATATCTGACGTACTAATTGGCTGGACATATTAAAATTATGAGTTTTGGACCAAAATAATATTTTGTGAAATGCCTTTACAGGTCGATTTCCTAACATTTTGAAGGATTAACTTTTCCCTGTAATAAATTACGGTTAATGGTGTAGGTACTTGAGAGGATTAAATTATAAACATCCTCCTTAAACCAACAAATTTTGCTAAATATCCTTTCAGGTAGTTGTATTAATATCTTCAAATTTCTAAATGACTCAGTTTACTTTCAACTTCATTTCAGTCTTTATTGTTGTGTTGTGTTAACCAGTGGGAAAAATGGCAAAATTAATTGAGTCGTGGGTAAAATCTTATTCAGATTTTGTTGTAGAAAGTGATAACCAGGTGTTTTGTAAAACATGTTCTAAAATTGTAAGTACTTTTTTTTATATTTTACAATGGTAAATCAAACGACAGTAAAATATTATTTCAACTCACAGTTAAAAAAAAAGTAGGGCAACTTTACAACGTACGCATTTATTTAATTTAATTAAAACTTCAATATTTACAGGAATTTATTTGTTTTACATTCCATGTAAAAAATTAAACAAATCATATTTGATTTTGATGATTCATCTAAGGGAATATCTAATACAAAGAAGTTGTTTCAAAATCACATATTACCAAAGCAATTAGTGTTTTTAAAAATATATGCATTTGTACCCAAAATTATATTAGATTTAGAACAGAAAATTTACCTTTGGTGCCTTCCGTAAATTTAATTAAGACGTTTGAATCAGAGTGTAAAAATGTCCAGGGCGATATTGGAAAGACGATTTTTCATAAATTTTCAAATGTAATTTTAAAAAATGAAGGATTTATTGTTTTAAGAAACCTTGCTAATATTTATTCTGGTAACTTTGAAGATATTAATACTATTCATGCAGATATTTCAGGAAAATTTAAGTTTGCACGTATTACTTCTGTAGATATAGAAAGGAGTTTTTCTTTGTACAAGTACATACTTACTGATAGGAGACAATTATTTAATACAGATAATTTAGAAAAACATCTAATTGTTCATTCGTTTTATAATAATGTTGATTTGTAAATAAAATTAGTTATTAATTAAATAATTATTAAGTATTATATTAGGTATTGTAAAATAAAACAAATAATAAATATTAATAAACTATTTCGATCAAATAACAAATTACTCTTATTGCCTATGCTCTGCATATTTTTCAATTTTTTACGCATATATTGAAGTATTTTGCGGCATATATATGCGCATATTTAACTACTTTTTGGGTGCACATATTCCTAGGTCTACAAATTCTCATTACATATAGAGCCTTGTGCTTCATTACAGAATTTGTTAAAATCATCTTCGAAAATACTTGCTACTCTTGATACATTAAAACTATTCTCGTGATCCATGCTAACCTCTCTGATATTCCTACATATACAATTATCTATTAAGGGGAGGGTAAAGTTAATTCGTGCAAATAAAGGCACGTTTTTGCGAATTTTTTTTGAAGGCACAGTTAAAATCTATTTATTAAAACTAATGATGCATTAAAGTATAACATTCTAAGAATAATGTGCAAAATTTTCATCAAAAAATATTAAAAAATACGGCAATGGCAGCAATTATTCGGAAGCGTCTCGAAAAAAAGTAGAATTGCGGTGCCCCTCATAACTTGGTGCAGGATCATCTGAAATCAAAAACCAAAATTTATTTCGTTAAATAATCGCTTTCCCCAGGTAACGCTATGAGGGATTTTCGAAATTTAAATTTTTTACTTTTTGGGAACACTTTGAAGTGAAAAACGCGATTTTTGCGAAAAAAAATTGGCTAATTTGTTATTGTAAAATAAAAAATATTGACAAATTTAAAAAAACTCCTCAGCGTTACCTCGTAAATTATGTACAAAAACAGTGTTTTAAATTTGAAAAGGATCGATGCAGTAGTTTTGAAGTTATGAGGGGCACCGACTTTAGAAACGTGAGTTGTAGAAAAAACGCTTTAAAGTTTTGAACACTAAAAAATTTGGAATAAAACGTTCATAAGCGAGTTTTATCGGCGTACTTCACACTGAATCATCGATGCCAGGTCCATAAAGGATGTTGGTATCATCCATGATGTCTAAAGCATCTTTGTGCTCCTGTCTACGACGAAGTCTGCCTTCTTTGGTCTGTTTTTCAGATTCCTCCTCCGCTCGATTTATACGTATGGAGTCAGTTGATCGTGCCCATTTATCTGCGCTTGGTCCACTACTGATTCCCATGTTTTGCATGGAGATTAATAAAGCAAAAGAACCTTCATTGAAGACACAGGCTGTCACATAAGCTGCAATCTCAACGATGGCAAAGGTTTCACCTAAGTGCTTTTTGGTGAGATTTTCCAAATAAGTTGGTTCAAACTCTCATTGTTGTTCTGCGTAAAGCCTTCGACACATCGCTCCAGGAGGGAATCTTTGCTCAGATCTTCATAGATAGGCTTTATGATATCCAAAACATCCTTGGGGAGAGTACTGTACCGGTGTTTGAATGAATCTAATGCATTAACAGCTGCAGCTTTTTGCCATTCGCACCACGAGTCAGCTCCGCTCGGGCATTTTTTATGCTGTGGATTCTCGTCCGTTGAACTGTAGTGAAAGAAAGTTGCGCAGATAGCATTCTTCATATTTTTCACGGAATCAGAGTAACGTCTAATAGCCAAACCATAGTATACCGTCAGTTTATCAATTATTTTAGCCATAAGCTTTCCTTTACCAGAAAGACTCTTCCTTTTGATCTTCTTTCCAGCCTTAGTTTCAGTATCTACAACGGTCTTTTAGACTATTTTACGTAGACGAGTGCCCATTCTTTTTTGAACATGTCCTACACATTCTTTTTTCACTATTGAAAAATCATCACCATAAGGTTTAGAATTCACTAACCCGAAGTAAGCTTTGGAGTCACCGTCGCCGATATAGATGCGATATCGCACACCATTTTTTACCGAGCGTTGAAACATGGTTTTTATCGCTTGAACCTCTATATTTCCAGCTGCACCAGTATGATTTGCCCGACACTTTCTAGCATTTACGTGAGCTTCATGCCACTCTTCGTATTCGACAGCGTCTAATTTACTTTCCCAAGTTGTACATTCGTGGCAGTATGAACTTTTGACGAAAATGTCAAGAACTTTACCTGTGAAGTAACCGATTAACGAGGTGACGCCGAATAAAGATGAGAAGCCTCTTTTTTCCATGTTCCGTCGCCTGATGCAGTAAGTTCGTCGGCATCTTCAGTTTTTTCTCTTTGGCGGTTTCTGCTTTTTCTTCTTTTGTAGCAGATAAAAAAAATCGATTCACTACTTCTTTTACAGTCGAGCACATTTTTTTCATGTAAACATTGTACGTCGGTTTTGATAAAAAGTTACTAGACAAATCCATCCAACCACAAAACCTTTTACAGCCAGCTAATCCAACGCCTAATATCCTCATCACGAAAAACAAACCGATAATTAACTTCGTGAACACCAGAGTTTATTCTTCTACTAGACGGAACATTTGTAATCTGTTTACAGCTTTCGCACGATACTTTGATGTTAAATCCAAGGCCTTCTTTCTTAGTCGAATAAAAATTTACTTTTACATCACATTTTACACACTTCACTAGCGTAGCAATTGTTGAAAAGACCAATAAAAAATCTACTATCCTATAATATTTTTCAAGATCCTCCGTAACTTGATCTTCAACGGTCACTTTTATTTTTTTAGCTGACGCGCTACTTGTTAAAACATCTTCGCTTTTACGTTTTTGCGGAGGTACAATTTTTCTATGTCGATATAATCTCGAACCAGATGATTTTCTATCAGATTTTTTAACTTCTTTAGACATTTTAGTAATAATTTAAAACAAAACGGAGCTAAAATGATGCGAAAATCGAGCGCGCGTACACGTCTGCTCAATAGAATGTTTACTGCTACACAATTTTTCCTTTCTTTGGCTATCGTCCCATATATAGCCACTTGCCAGGCCAATGCTACACTAAATTATATACTCTACACTGACTAAATATACAGTACAGGTTTGTACACGTTTGAACTTGTGTTTCTATAAAGAAAGCGAGAGCGAAACAGCTGCCAGGTAACAATAGCGCGCTGGGACCGGGTAGGTGTTTTCTGACGCGTTGAGTCATGTATGAGGCGCTGTTGCTTAAACCGCTGTATCTTCGTTAGTTCTGCTTCGATTTGTCTCAAATGTTCACACAATATTCTTGAAAGATGTTCCATTCAGAAAATCGAATACAAAAACAATGCAAAAAAAAGTTTAAAAACTTTACCCCCCCCCCCTTAAACAGTTACAAACATCACATAAAATATCACTTGGTAATTCGCTAGATGTACTTAGTTTTACCATAATTTTTACAATTTGCCCTAAATTTTGCTGATTGTCATCTTGGGTTGATATATTTTCATTATTTTGAAATTCATCACAAGCAATACGATTTGCTATAACATACTTACTAAAATTACTAATAAAGTGTTCATGGTTTTCTATAGTATTACTACTATCTTCATAATTACTATTATAAACAATCTTTCTTTTTACCATCCTTCTATCTTCCTCTTTACCATGCCTTCCGCACCTCGTTTCCTCCTCTTTCAACTTCCTTAACTGATCTACATGCCTTTTCCCAATATATCCTAAATGAAGTATTTTCGATTTGGAAGCTATTCAGTAAAACCAGTAACCTTTTTTATGAATTTTATAATAAATTTTTTATTGAGAATGACAAACGTTTTTTTTTTTATTAACTGACAACTTTTATTCAATTTAAAAAACACTACGAAACCATACTGTATATATTATATAGTAAGTGTACTATGTGCTGCATAGATTCAACAAAATTTGAAAAGCGCTCAACAGCACATAATACCATTACCAAGGTACAATATTTTAAACATCTCTAAAATTTAAAAATTTTTGTTTTCATAATGCTTTTGTAAAAACATCTGCAGCATTATCTTTAGTGTTAACATAATCCATTTTAATTTGACCATTGATGACCAAATGTTTGATATAGTGTTCTTTGATATCAATGTGTTTTACACGTTTAGAATTTTTATATTATTTTGACATAAAAATTGCACCAACAGTGTCCATTAACAACGTAGGTTCAGTAGTAACACCAAAATCTAAAAGAATACCTTTTAAATACATTAGTTCTTGGGCAGCAGCAGAACCAGCAACATATTCTGCTTCGGTGGATGACAATGCGACAATGCTTTCTAGATGACCAAGAAACTGAATTGTTGCAATAGAATACTATACATCCACTTACACTTTTGCGGTCCGAAGTGTCTCCTGCCCAGTTTGCATCTGCAAAGCCTACAAGAGTATTTTCTTCTGTTGTAACGCAAACCAAAATTTTCAGTAGTCTTTAAGTAACGTAATATCCTCTTTGCTGCTTTCTAAGTTTGGTCTAAAGGTTTGTCAAGTGATCTGCTTAGGTAAGAAACAGCATACATGATATCTGGCCTTGACGTTGTAGCAAGATACATTAAGCTACCTATTAGTTGTCTGTATGGAACTTCGATGATTTCTCCGTCTGCAACTATTTGAAAATTAACTTCCATTGGTGTTTGGCATCCATGACATTCTTCCATATTAAATTTTTTCAATATTTTCGCAATTAGTTCTGATTGGTTTATACTTAAAGTTTCTTCGGTTCTTGTGATAGACATACCTAAAAATTTTTCCATTTCTCCTAGATCTTTAGCCTCAAACTTGACTTTTAACATATTCTTTGTTTCTTCTATTTCTTTCTTCAATCCTGTAATAATTATGTCGTCTACATACACTATCATCCAAACATTACTGTTTGGATTTGTAGATTTTGGAATCACTTTGTATTCTATCGATTTAGTTAGTTACGGCAAAGAATACCTACCCAAGAAGCGACACTAAATGGGCGATTCGTGGACAAAAAATTGCCAAGTTTTCTCAGTGTTTTAGAGGTAGTTTAACGTCAAATATAGTTGTCAGTTCATGTAGTGTATGACGTTTGGTATATTATTCTTAGCGTTTTCAGAAAATTTCAGTAGGTTTATTTAAAAGTAGTAATTATATATTAGATAGTTTAAAGGTTTTTATTACAATGAAAAAAATACATTGCGTTGTTCGTGGTTGTGTTACAACTTCAGAACAAGGGCTAAGAATGTTTAAATTCCCAGGTGATGCCATAAGGTATGTACTGAAATGTTACTGTTCAAATTTATTTAGAAAAATTAAGTATTAATAAATATAATTTTGTAGAGCTCAACTCTGGTTAAAAGCTTGTAATCGTTAAGATTTAAATTTCACAGTTCCTAGTAGCTTATCTTCATATAGAATATGTGAACAACATTTTGAAGAAAAATATTTTTCAAGCAGTACATCTTATAGAAGACGATTATTTGACAATGCTGTACCCACAGTATTCTCCAAATGCAAACGAAGCTATGATATTCTCACAATTGATCCTCCAAAAAAGGTAGTAATTGTTTCTGGTAAGTGTTTCAAACTAATATACATATAAAAATGTTAGTTTAACGGGGGTGGCGTTTGTTCAGTGATTTTAACCAGTGTTTAACATGAAGAAATAAATTATGGTATTTGAGTACAATTAAATATTACAAATTAAAAAAAAAAAAACATTTAGCTAATACTATAGTCTTCGGTATACGGGGAGCCGAAGCAAAACGATTGCTTAGATTGGCGACATTTTGACAGGGTCGTATCCAGAATCAATTAATATAGCAAGAATTTTCCGTCATTTTAACTTTAGTATGTGTTTAATTCTCATGAACCAAACAACAAAAATTGATTGGAATTATACGTTTCTCAGTGTATTAAGTTCCCATTTACGTCAAGGTCGCTGCTACTTTGGTACATAGAAAAACTCATTCAGTTTCGCTTCTTGGGTATGTATTCTTTGGTTACGGTGGTCTGACAATTAATGTCAGATAATAACAAAAAATTATTACATCTTGTCTGCTATTCTTGAATGATCCAAAAAGTTATCCTGTACTTTAAAGAATAAATAGTTGGACGAACCAGCATCTTTAATTGATATTTAGGGGCATTAGCCATTACATTGGTCCTTCGGCTGGGATACTGATTCACTGGAAGTAATCAGAAAATTGGATTTTTTGGATAGGCCTCCATACTGTTAATGTTTTCTATCGTTTTGGGGAAGACTAGCAATGGACAAGTGGGTTTCTAAATTGGGAATTGGTGAGAAACTACTTGGAAAATGCACACGTCTTAGGTAGAAGAATACATACAGATAGAAGCGGTACAGGTATTTGGATAAAGCAGTTCTAGCATTGTTTTATAGTTTCGGGTACAAGTTTGATAAGTCTTCATTAGTTTTATAAAATATCTATAAAAATGGCTGAAGGTGACAGTCAGATGTCTCCTCAAGAGTTAGTTGCTTTGAAGGAATTAAAAAATAAAAGAAAATTTATAAAGGGTCAACTTACTCGAATTGAAACATTTATTAATAATTTCACTGTTGATAAAGGGGAACAAATTCCTACTAGGTTAAAATTATGCGAGGAGTTTTGGGAAATAGAGCAAATTGATACATCTGACAATGAATTAGCGGAAAGGGACATCTTCATGGATAAATATTGCGAGGTGGCAAGTAGTTTACATAAGTTAAATGGAATGTCAGCTAGTTCTAGTAGAAACAATAGAATATCTAGTTTGGGTGTAAATGATATAAAACTACCAGCAATAGAAATTCCGACTTTTTGGGGTTCACACGAAACTTGGTTAGAATTTCATGATATTTTCAAAGCGGTAGTAGATTCTAATCCGAACTTAGGGGAAACTCAAAAGTTCTATTACTTAAAAAAGGCATTAAAAGGTGGGGCTGCTGACGTAATCCAGTCGCTAGAGAATTCTTCTACCAATTATACTGAAGCTTGGAAGTTATTGAAAGAAACTTACGAGAATAAAAAGGTTATTGGTTTAAGTCATTTAGATAGTTTACTAGGATTTCCAGTTATGAATAAGGAATCAGGTACTCAGTTAAGGAAATTTTATAACCAAATAAAAAAAGATCTTCGTGCTTTAAAAACGTTAGATATACCGGTTGAAAATTGGGATGTAATACTTATTTATTTATTTGAAATGAAACTAGATGATATCACACGAAGTGAATGGAAAAAAACGGTACCTTTAAACGATTTCGCAAAGCTAGATGCTTTTTTAACGTTTCTTTCGCATAAATTTCAGCGACTGGATTCCGACAACAGTAAAAAAGTAGCGAAATCAACAAATCATGAAGTTAAAAAGTCTGACAGGTTTTTAAAATCATTCGTTAGTATGGACAAAGGAAACCAGGTTTGCAGAGTATGTGACAAAACTAATCATTCTATTAAAGATTGTAAAAGGTTTTTAGAGTTAACAGAAATACAAAAAAGGGAATTAGTTCAATCACTTCACCTATGCTGGAATTGCTTGAGACCGGGACACAGAGTTCAAAGTTGTAAAAGTGTAAAAGTCTTACTGAAGGTTTTATATGGAGACATGTTGCATCAGCAGATAATCCAGCAGATGTCGTGTCACGAGGTGTGAACTTAGAGCAGTTAAAAGGTTGTAAATTATGGTGGCGGGGTCCAGATTGGCTTTGTAAAGATGAAGCGAATTGGCCTAAGCAGAAGCAGTTTGAAATTCATGATTTACCTGAAAGAAGAACAATTCGAAAGGTATTCTTAGTAGGTAGTAGTCTTGATATCTTTGAAAGATATTCCAATTTATTTAAATTACAAAGGGTTTTGAGTTATTGTTTACGATTCATGAGTAACTGCAGAAAACCTAAAGCATTAAGAGTCACTGGATCTTTA